TACCCCGGAACAGGGTGCAGGCAGCTCCTGGCCCAGGACACAGCCTGCAACCGGCCCCCCATGCAGGTTTTGGCATCCGAAAGGTCATCTGTCCTGCTGCAGCAGCGGCAGGCTGGGGGGGGGGAGGAGTGCATGTGCCCTGCTCTAGTCCCTGGGCCCCTGTCCCAAACCCTTGCAAGCCCCATTCCCAGGACCATCATTGCAGGATGTGGATGCCTGTGTTGAGCTGCAGAGGGAAAGGTGCCTTTAGCAGATCCCACCCTACCCGTTCTGACCTTGCTGCACTTGCCCATGGACACATACCAGTTTGCTTTGTTTGGAATTGCCATGTGAATAGGACCGTGCTGGGGGGCAAGTAGATGGTGACACTGTAGAGAGTGAAGGGCTGCAGAAGGGGACAGGTAAATGTTCCCTTCCAACCCTGTAGCATCTCCCCTGCCATGACCTCTTCAACTTTACAGCGTGGGGAGGGAGACCAGGCCAGATGGCAGATGCCCCGCATGTCCTGGCAGGCATGTGGGAACCTGCAGGTCCAGTTCAGTTTGATGCTGGTGGCAGAAACTTCCACGGTCTCAGGGAAAATCTGGAGAAGTTCTGTGAAGGAAACATCACAAGCAGGTCATCTCCTTCCCTTCCCTCCTGCCCTTCCAAGGGGGCTACATTCAGAGAGTCTGACTTGCCACCTCACAGGGGAGCATGAGACTGATGGCAATCTTGTCTCCGATTTGGGGAGCAGGAGTGTTTGGGGATCATGAGGCGCTAAGAGCTTTCTAGGCTGATTCCTGATGCTTGAGAGGACTGTGCCCATTCAGTTAAACCTCAGCTTCAAAAATACTACATGATCTGACAGGACATGGCCTGAGCTGCTCCCTCACTTACCCACACAGGTCATATTCCCCTCAATACGGTGCAAGCTGCCCGTGCCATTCCGCATGTGCCAGGTGACCTGAGCAGCTGAGTACTGCTGGTGTGGATTTAACTTGACACAAGTGATCTCCATGGGAGGAGGCCCGTGCCCCTCAGGGCAGCTCACCACCACCACTTGATTGAGCTCATAGAACATCTTGTCTGGAGAGAACAGGAGCTTGGGGTCCCACTCGGGCTTCCAGCATATCTCTGCACCAAAAAAATGTGTAGGCATTAGCAGACCAGGAGCCTGGCCTAGCAGGGACAGCAAAGGGAGGGTGATACCCCCTCCCTGGCACGTTATGATGAAGGAGAGGGAGGGAGCTCTGGGACACAAGATAGGAGACGCCATGTCCCCAGGCAGTAGCTCAGGTGGTGAGGAGGCTGCTCCCTCACTTACCCACACAGATCAACACTGCTTCCCTTGGCTTCCTGGGAAAGGCTGGGAAGAGCATGGAGTTCTAGAGATTCTGCAGACCATGGAGGGCCCTGTCCAACATGGCAGGAGTCTCAAGGCTTCTATTGCCAAGACTGGTCATGTTGGGCATGGCCAACACAGGGCCAAAGGGACAAGGCAGGACACCCTGGAAACTTGGGCCGGGCACAGAGATTCTCCCCTCAACCCCTGCTCATATATCTGACTGTCACAGGAGCATCACCCCTTTCATTTCCAGCCCACATTCCCACATCTCCTTTACTCAGAGCTGCCAGCAGGGAACCAGCTCTGAGTCCTCTCACTTTGCACAGTCAGAAGGAACTCAGCAAGTTGAGCGGCAGTACAAAATAAATGTCACCAGAGCTTCAAGAACATCTAAGTATCATTCTTCAAAAAACACCACATCACCCTGCTTACCCTTGACAGTAGTCTTAGAGCCCTTAGTTTGGACTACAGGCTGAACCTGAGCCTCGTGAGGAGAAGGGCTCCTGGGTGGCAATAAGTGGGGAGCAGTTTGAGGCACTATGACTGCATGGGACAAAGGCAGCAAGGCCACCACAGCTATGATTCAGGGCAGCCTGCACGCATACCTCTTCCATGTCCAAGCTGTTGGTCTCCTCCCCACATCACCCACAAATCATTACCACAAGACTCCTGCTCACATGAAAACTGAAGGCTGGAGCCCTGTGTGCCGGGCAACCTGTTTTGGGCATGCTCTCTCAGCCCCTTCCTAAGAGGAACCACAGGGACAAGTGTGGGCACCAGCCTCTTCCCACTTGGAGGTGCACGTGGCAGTTGTGGACAGGACAGGGGAGGTATAGGGCTGCAGCAGAACTGTTTCCCTAGCCTGGCAGAGGGCATGGGGCTGTGTGTACTCACACAAGCTGCATTTTCCTGTACAGGAAGGGCAAAGAGAAGCACTCGGGAAAGGCCCTGAAGTCTCTCTTACCAGCGCACTCTATGTCAGACCGAATGTGGATCCAGCCAGCTGTGCCATTCCTCCCCATCCAGACTTCTCTGTATACAGGTTTGCCATGACTGGTAGACTTGACCTCACTTTTACATTTGACCTCAGTGAAGGATGGGTGCAGGCCCTCAGGGCAGCTCAGCATCACCTCATCATTCTCCTTGTAATTCCTTTGGTCTGGTGTCAGCTGGAGACTTTGATCCCACTGGGGTCTTTGGCATGTTCCTGGGAGAATCAAAAGAGGCTGCAAGTTGGTCAGGGCTGGAGGTGGACCAGGTGGGGCAGGGGAGTCACTCGTGATGGAGACCACTCCTCAGAAGGAAGAGGGGGCAATAACATCACCCTCCCACCCCTGCCATGACAAGACAGCTCAGGGAGGCCTGCTGAGAGGTGGCTCTCCTTGTGCACATGAAGTAGGACTGGCCTCCCATCCATCACCTTCTGTGCTCTGCCCTTGTGTGCTTTGACGCCCTTAGCCCTCCACCATATCCCACAGGAAAGAGTCCAGAGAGAATCTCCCTGGCAAGAGCAGATCACCTGGTTTCCCTCATTCTGACATAACACCTACCCAGCACAGGCTGCTGTTTCCCCATAGCCACTGGCCTTCAGGTCAGCCTGCCCCTCATTTCCACAGGGTGCAGCCACTCCGTTTGGACTGCACCTCTCTCCAGCCATGACTCATCCCCACTCCTGAAGGTTTAGGAGATGTTCCCTGTCCACATGCCTTGTCACTTGCCTCCACAGCAATAACACAGATCTGCTGCCTGTTCACTGACCCGCTCTGTCCCTCTGCTGTGTCCTTTCTGCCCATGCCCCTATGTACCTGGGACGTGGGGCCTTGTCCATTCAGGCCCTCTGCTTTACTGCAGGCCCTGTCCATTTCCCCTGATGCCACCCTGCTCCTTGTCCCCTGTCCTCCTTCTGGCTTCACACATCCTTGCTCCCCATTCTCCTCCCTGCTCTCCCTCGAATGGCCACCCTCAGCACGTGGCCCCATTGGCACAAACACATGGTGCCATTCCTCCTTTCACACCATTCTTGTCCACTCCAGCCACAGCTCAGGCTGCCAAACCAGTGACCTAGGAGACAGATGTGTGCTCAGATGTGACAATGGTGATGGGAATGGCCGAAGGAAGGCATTTGGAGGAACTGGGCCAGCCAGCAGCCATGGTTCCATACACAAGCCTGAGATTCGCCTGGATCCAAGGCCTAGCATAGGAGGGAAATCCCGGTAGGAAGATCCAGAGACTGTCCCACAACAGGCCCTTGCAAGAGATGGGTGTCAGCGCCAGCCAGCTAAAGGCACGGAGCATGAGCTCAGCACTGATCCGCATCTAACAAATCCTGGCACTCGAGAGCCAGACTGGACATGTTGCGAGGGTGTCCACTGGTCCCAGCTGCTGGGATTTGCAAAATCTTTTTGAAAAGGGAAATCCCTGGAGATCATGGTAGGGCATATGGGCAGACAGCATCACAGGCCCAGCTGAGGGATCCTGATCACAACCCAAGAGTGAATGCCTACACACAGTGGTGAATTTGAAAGCTAGGAGGGGAATAAAGGGAGCAGGAGTTGACCAGGAGGCTCCAGAGGAGGCACCTCTTGCCTACCCACTTACCAGAGCACTTCACGCCTCTCTGAATTTGGGTCCATTTACCAGTGCTTGTTCTCCCCAGCCACTCATATCTGTTTACAGAGTGGGCAGTGTCTGAACATTTGACACTGGAGAAGTCTGGAAGGAGGCCCCGAGGGCAGCTCAGACTGACTTCATCATTTGTTCTGTAGAATTGATGGTTTGGTGTCAGCTGGAGGCTTTCATCCCACTGAGGCCTTTGGCATGGTCCTGGAGGAGTCAAAAGAGGGTGCATATTGGTCAGGGCTGTAGGTGGACTATGTGGGGCAGGGGAAAGGACAAAGGTCCTCTGAGGATAAGGGCTCTGCTGAGGGACCCTGATCACCATGGAGGAGCAAATGCAGGACACAGTGATGATGCTGAAAGCTCAAAGAGGAATGAAGGGGACAGGGAACAGGGGCCTCCAGAGGAGGCACCTCCTTCTGACATACTTACTGATGCACTTCACGGATGCCTGAATTTGGGTCCAGTCACCTGTGGTGTTTCTGCCAAGCCATACATTTCTTTTGACAGATCCAGTAGAGCCCATGGACCGGACAGTCTCTGAACATTTGACATGGAAGAAGGCTGGGAGGAAGCCCTGAGGGCAGCTCAGACTGACTTCTTCATTCTTTCTGTAGATTGAGCGATCTGGTTCCAGACGGACTTTTTGACCCCATCGGGGCCTTTGGCATGTTCCTGGCAGAGGTAAAAAAGAGCTGCATGTTGGTCAGGGCTGCAGGATGACCACTTGGAACAGGGGAAATGATGAAAGTTCTAGGATTCACCCATGATGAAGTTTAGCCCCCCAAAGGGAGGTGTGAAGGTAACACACCCATTGGTCATGACAAGACACCTCAGGGATGCCCACTGGAAGGTGGCTCTGCTTGTGCACGTGGAGCAGGGCTGACCTCTCATCCATGACCTTCTCTGCTCTGCTCTTGTGTTCATGGACCCTCTTAGTCCTTCACCACATCCCACAGGAAAGAGAGTCCAGAGACAATCACCCTGGCAAGAGCAGGTCTCCTTTCTCCCCTCATTTTGACTGGATCCCAGTACTGCTGTCTCCCTGCAGCTGCCCAGGTATGAGAACGGCTGAGGGATGTAGGGCTGGCTGAAACAAGGACAGTGGCAGTAACAGTGACAGCCAGCAGCTGTGATCCCATGGGTATACCCATATGCTGCCTGCTTATGGGGAAGTTGTCTCCTATACCCTGGCTGGCCTCTTCTGACGGCATGCAGAGGAAACACAGCAGTAGTGGGGGCCTGTGGCTTGCCAGGCACTCTGGTGGGCAACATCACAGCTGGTCAACACAGGTCAGGGCTGAGAGGGGACTCAGGAGAGCTGCTGCTTCATCATTTACTGGTGCACACCCACGGTCCTCCTAGTACGGATTCAGTCTCCTGTGCCGATCCTCTCCCAACCTGCATCTCCATATACTGGTTTTCCAGCACTCAGTTACACTATTTTTTTGCACATTCGTCTTGAGTGAATGATGGCTCTAGATCTCCAAGGAAGGTCAGTGTCTGTTCTTAATGGCTTCTGTTTTCTTTCTTCCTTTCTTCCTTCTTTCCTTGCTTTCCTTTCTTTTTCTTTTCCTGCCCTAGGATCTCAGAGACATGGGGCTGTGCTTACCCTCGCATACAGCAGTTACATTCCACAAGGTCTGGCTCCTGTTGGAAATGCAGCTGAGCACAGGGACTGATGGCTGGTAGCTCCCAGCACAACTCAGCTGCACCACCTCATTCAAGGCATAGCTGGTCTTGTCAGGGGCAAACTGCAGCTTGGGGTCCCAGTTGGAGGGGGCTTTGCATCTTCCTGTGTGCAAAGAAAATGAGGACGAGCCCTGAGGTTCAGCAAGTTCCGGCAGCATCTGTGAGGTGATGGGACCTCATCCAGAAAGGTGCAGGCCCCTCACTTTTGAGGGGTTGCCTGGATGGGCCCTACCTGGATCAGGTTCTTAGACCATCGCTCTGGTGCATTTACCCTAGTTATGCTGGGCCAGTGCAGGACTAGTTCTTGCAGATACATCTGCCCACCCTTTCTGCCCCATACTTCTGCTGAGAGATCCTATCCACGGGATCCAGCAGTCCCCACCAGTGGGTGTGGGAAGGCACCAACCCCAGCTGCCACCACAAATCTGCATGCATGTAGTGCTGCTTCACAGCACTTAGCACTACCTATGCATAAGGACATTTATTTCCTGAAAAGAAAGGAAGGAAAAAGAAAAGGTGCCCATTTGCTTTTCCTCTGCAGGTGATGTAGGCTTTTTTCTCCTCTCCTTCAATTGCCCAAACCACCCATGGGCTGCTAGGACTGGGTATCACTTTCCCCTATTCCCCTGCCATCCCTTGCCTAAGAAGGCCAACAGCCCCACACAGGGGCTGGATGAAAGGGCTCTATAGGAGCCACAGGGTCTGGCCTGACTCCCCCGGGCATGGGACACGAGGAGCACTGCGCACTCGGCATACTCACGGAGGCAGGAGAGATTCCAGTCTGCCCTGTTGTCCTCCATCTCTGTGCAGGTAGCACTGAATAGCTCATCTCCGGAGTGCCCAGGGCAGCTCGTTAGCACTGTCTCGTTCACCAGGAACTCCTCCTTGTCCAAGAAAGACCTCACAGTCTCAGGCAAGCTATCTGTTCTGCATGTCCCTGTGTGGAGAGAAAGCAACAGCCTGAGATGGCACATTTGTACCTGCCTGCAACCGGACCGGAAGCACAAGTGTAGAGCAGGGATGAAGAGGTGTGCAGCAGGCCAGACCTAGCAGCTCTTTCCTGCTACAGAGCAGGCTGCAGGACAAGATACAGACACCAGGCCTTCAGGAACCGCCACACCAGCTGCTGACACAATGCCAGAGGTCAGGGGAGTCTCCTAAAGCTCCTTGTGGAGCCTCTGTCTCAAGTGCACGTCTTGGCCCCGTGTGCCTTTCTGGTTGTCAGAGGTGTCAGCATCCAACAGGTGCAGCTTTTCAGAGGCAGGATGCAAGGTAGGCCCAGGACACACACATACGTGGGGAGCGTGTAAGGCCAGACATCTCCCCACACTCCGGTAGGATGTCTCCCTTTCAAGGCTAAATAGAGGAGCAGCTGTAGCCCCCTTCACCCACTCCTCAGTTATGCAGGTTGCAGCAGGCGAGCAGCTCAGCCTTCTTCTCCGTTGCACAGGAGACGCCGTCTGGTGTAACAGCTTGGATGCTGTGATTCTGATATTAACACACAGCAGCAATTCGGATGCCCATTGCGCTGGGTCCTATTACTTCCACTTCTCTCCATGGCCTGCTCTGCACTACTTTGTCCTGAGGAGATTTCATATGTGACCGAGACAGCAATTCAGCTTCTTAGGAATTAATTGGTTCCCAGTGTGCAACTGAAATTAGGGTGACTCAGGAAGCTGAAGTGCAGCAGAATCTGTTTTTAGCAAGTTTGTATATCCGTTTGCACCATCTCCTTTGATGCATACAGGACAGATTTTAGGCAATCAAAAAAAGTGACAATAAAACATTAAAACAATTTTGTCCCCGGTCAGAAACCTTTTAGTAAATCACTCAGGTCACATTATTCCTTATATAAACAATTCATACCTGGCCTCATGTCCAGGCTCAGCAGCACGCTGTGATCTTACCAAAAGACCAGACCAAATTCATTTCATTCCATGCACTAAAATCCACGTATGAAGTCAAGTGATTAAGAAAAAATATATAGTTTTAAATATCCCCAGATTTTTCTGCTTGTTCTTAGATACTGATTTCATGGATGACTATAAATTTGATGTAATTTACTTATTATCACATTATGTTACACTTCAACATATGAACAGCTGTTCACCTTTAAGGATGGTATAATTTTTTAAAGCATAACAAAAGAAAAGCAAGTCATATTTCTCAAGCATGGAAAAAAAATCTCTCCACCATGCCTGTTTCCATAAGCCTTTTAGAAATTTTGGTAGGCAATTCTCAACTCAGGAAATAAAAAGTAACTTATCTTAAATAGAGACATTTAAAGATTCTTTCAAGTTCAGTTTATCAAAATTACAATATCCTTAAAACCATTAGCAGATGGGGAACAACTACTGGCAATTCTACTTCGTTATGGTAACTTCAGTTTGAAATTATATGTAACTACCTGGATGTTCAGCTGCATTCTACAGCATGCGGATTATGCAACTGGTGGAAGTAGGTTTTCATACTCATTTTAATTTCTCATTGGTTACTTATTAGTTTCTATGCAGATATGGTGCTATCTCTTTATGACACTAATTTGTGTCTCTCTCTACTGACTGCATATCAATTTTTCATGTAACAATGAGGAATTCAGCTAAGAGCATTCTTTGTCCAACAAATCTGGCTGTAATGAAGCAAAGGTTTTCTAGGTGCAGACTGGGATCTTTCCCTGCCTCATAACACACATAAATACCATTAAGACTCGTGGTTAAACTGTGTTTGCTCTGCACTCCTTGTGCAACGGGCCAGCAGACCACAAAACTACATAACCTCAGCGAAGATAAAAGCCCTGGCAAGTAAATGTGAGGAAATCCCACCAAACTGGTAAATTAAGAAGCAATGCTTTCATCCAGATGAGAGATAGCTGCAAAGGTGTTTCCCATTTTGCATTTCAGGGCTGAGATCGCTTCTGCACGAGGTTTGTGCAGCCACAAAAATCCTCCCAGCTTTGTGTCACCATGTAAACATGAACCATCGTTGTCTGTAAGAGGTCAACAGCAACTGGCCTCCAGCAATGAGCAATCTGAGGAAATGAAACCCTAGCAGTGGAAACATCTCTGACCGCACTGTGGGAGCCCAAGTGGGTGCGAGAGTTCATGGCACAGCTGATCCATGCCGGGCTGCCTTCAGTTCCGTACTTCAGCTCCAAGGGATCCCTTCTGTCTTCTTTTTGTAAGGGCACATACTGGGGGATTTATAACCCCCTTGGTAGCATTAACATCATCAGAAACGCAAGACGTGGCAACCTACTGGGCTGGAAGCAAGGAGGGAAAGGGTGCTGACACAGCATGGGCTTTGAGATGGGTCTGGGACAGTGCCTTCCTACCACCATCAGTGCTATTCCAGCTGAGCAGCGGGGTTGCAACTGTATGCCAGAGCACAACATTGCTTCCCAGCCTCCCCAAGTCTTTGCAACAGAACATTTAGTGTCCTTCTTGTGATGCTACCTTTTAAAACACTTTTTAAAGGGCTCCTCCTTGCAATTGTTGTTTCAGGGGTGTAGCACAGTGCAGACTTATCGTAGCACAAAGGAGAACTATGTTATATTTAAAATTTGCTATTCCTCTTTATTAAAAGGCAGAACTTCCACAGGCCAGAAATAGGTGTAGTCCACATTATGCTGCTTAGTGCTGAGCAACCAAAAAGACAATGGATTGATTCAACCTTTCATTATTCACTTAAGTAAGAGTAAATAGCTGTTGTGCAGCTGTCCCTGGCTTGTGGGAAATGTGAAGGGAGCTCCTGGGCTGGGCTGGTCACACATTTCTGACCAGCCTGGCTCCCTTTGCTGTGACTCAATAGCTTCTCTTAACTCTGGGTGCTTATCAGCCCTAACCTTATATCAGGGGTGTCAGCATCTTTCCCGTCTCCTTTGTTCACATGGGAAGGGCCTGGGGTTTCACCCAGGTTGGTTCACCCATGTTTGGTTCAGATCTTCCATCAAGGCCTGCAACCTGTGATTGTTTCTGAAGGGTGGCTGTTCTGCTGTAATCATCCTCTTTCTTGTACTTTTTCCCCTACCACTTGGTAACGCTTGCTGGGGGCAGTGAGATCCTTGGAGCAGAGGAACCTTTGCTGTATCCCGGGATGGATATCTGTACACTTTTGCAGTGCCATCAGCCATGGGAAGCTGCATGGGGCACACCAGATCTGCCCTAGTTTCAGCAGGTGTGCAGAGCGGACCGACACTCCTTGTCCTTGCCTAGTGGACTGGACACTGCAGCATAAGGCAGAGCAGAAAGAAACACTCAGCAGGGCTTCTGGCATCACAGGGACCCACACCATCCCAGGGAGCAAAGAAATAGTTGCCCAACGCTTTTTCCTTTTTTAACACATGCACTGTATTATGGAAACAGCCACCCACAAGCCCCTCTGCCCCCAAGGAGAGGAAGGAGGCTGAGACGGAAAATATGAGGTAGATGTGACAAAACACACACATAAAGTGTAATATGTGCTCATTGCAAAACGGAAAATATCACCTCTCCTAGGAGTGCTGACAAAAGGTTAATGCATTTGCTCCATATAGTCAAAGGCAACTATTACATTTTTCTTCCTTTGATGCTATTAAATGAATATTCTCTCTTACTATTGTGCTTTAAAACCTGTGAATACACTAAGCATTTTACAGAAGACATCCAGAATGTCTGCTCTTGCTGCAAAGGAGTTAGTGAGTTTGGCAGCAAGAGCAGAGCCCTAGCATGTCCTAGAAAAGGATGTCATAGAGGATCAGAAGAAAGCAGAAATAGCTATTCGGGTTATTCGTGTCAGATTCCCGCAGTATTCTTGGCATGTTGCTGGCATTGGAGTCTACCCTGCATCTAATACTCCACGTTTACTGACATGAGCTAAGAAAAGCCAATGCTGTTTTTGCTAGCAGAGAGTGGTACTGTAAGTGATCAAGAGCATGTGCACTAGCACTTAATGTATCAGCATGCTGCTCATGAGTCTTCAGAGCTGCTGCATGAGACTTCAAGTGCCATCGCCAGTGTGATAGACCTTGGGGCTGCACTACCTGTGAGAAGCACCGAGGAGAAGGGCTGATAAAGCAGGGCATTGGACTAGGCTTTGCAGAAGGGCAGGGGGTGCAGCAGCGCTTTAACATTTGCTATGCTGCCACACAAAAGGACATTTGACAGAGTCTTAAGAATAGGCGGTGAGATAACCATTTCCTGTACCTGTACTCTGCTGACAGGTAGCAACAGCACAGTGGAGCACAGTTAGCAGCCAGGATGTGACACAGTGAGAGTGTGGCCTTATTCTAGCTAATATCCAGTGACCTGCCAGTCACCCATGATCTTAGTTAGGACTCCTTGCTGCTAATAAATCACTGCAAAATGTCAAGCAAGACTGATGAGAAAGGGGCTAGGAGAGGCGCATAATGTGGGTAATAGCGTCCCTGCAGAGAAGCCTCCCAGAAACTTTTCCACCTCCCTGCAAGGCTCACGAGTCTGTAAGGGGATGAAACTCTTACACAGGTGGAAAAACCCGGGGGTGAAAACCCTGCGAGACAATAGGAAACACAGGACAATGTGCCTTGTTCAAAGCGCCTTTCGCGGCTCTGCTGCCGGATGACAGTGCGAGCATAGAGGCGCTGCCCTGGCTTGCACTGCATGACACACACCGACCACATCCTCTGCTGCAGCTGCTCGCCTCTTTCCTCCTGCTCCTCGCAGCACTGACACCGCGTGTGCTGCGTAGGTCTCCTGCCCTGCCATGCTACACTATTGTGCCCAGGTCCCCTGCAGCCCATGGTACTGCCCCGAATCCCTGTTCCCATCCCCATCCTCACCCCTGAAAGTATAGAGATGCCTGCTGCTTTTCAGGATTTGGCACGGGTGATGGGGAGACACAGGGGGACAGGAGCACTCAGCATGTGGGAGCCCTGCAGCATCATGCAGTGGGAGAAGTTCATCTGTACGGGGATGGTCCTTCCTCCCTAATCATTCCTCCCATCTGCCAGGGTCATGGGAGATGCTAAGGGATATTTGGGAAAAGGGTCTTAGGGGGTGTTCTTCTACCATGCCTCCCATCTCCCTTGCCTGACCTTGCTCCACTGCCCTATGGAGGCCTCTTCCACCCCAGGGGACCCTGAGCCCCTCCTGGCCATCCCCAAAGGTTTGTCCTCAGCAAGATGAAGCCCCTGAGCCCAGTGCCCAGGAGGGAATGAGCCACGTGCCGAGGACGCAGGCAGGGCTGCCTGCCCCACTCTCTGCCGCATGTCTCGGTTCCTCTTTTCTCACACACAGAGGTGCAAAGTCAGCAGCACCATCTCCACCATGCCAGCCACAGGCTCCTCCTGGGACATCCAGGAACGGAATTGCACAGAGCCCAACAAGGGTCCCTGGCTCCTCGCTGTGTCTGCAGCCAGGCACTGGCCCCTGTGTGCTGTGCTTGTGGGCTGCAGAGCCTGGCAATAGCCGACCTGCACTCACTGGCCCTGCGGGGAAGCGGGGCGAGGGGAATCCACCGCGGGCAGGATCCTGGTTGCGGGCTAGCCCTCTGTGTTGGAGTGACAGAGCACTGCGCTCGTGGCCCCTGCAGCCACTGGGACACCTCTGCCTGGGAACGGCCTGGAGATGCTCCTGGTCCGGGTCTCACAGCACAAACACTTCGGCTTCCAATTGGCAAGCAAAGATCCCCACCCTGTTCCCAGGTCTCCATGACAGCCAGGGTCTTTCATCAGCTCCTTCTTTTAACTTGGGTCAGCCCAGAGACATCCCCATAGCCAGTCAGGAAGATGTGAGCAGCTGCTAATGTAGCGATTTTGTCACCTAGCCTAATAAAGATTAGTGTAGAGAAAGACTTGGCTTCAGGCAGATGCAGAACAACACAGGGTCACAGCCCCAGGAGCTGAACCCATCTCTCCCACCA